TTTGACTTTTAACGTGAAAGTCAGGAAACACATTAATTTATTTTTTTTTATTTTTCTACCTCATTTTTTCTTTCATTTTCCAAACAAATATCCAATCCAGATTTAGTATATATATAAGGAACCTTTTCATTTAAATAAATTATTTTTTTATTTTTATTTAAATTAATAATATCCTTTATTGTATAAATTTTGTTAGTTTCAGAAATTCCATAATTACAATTGTTTGTTGATGCTAAATATATCTTATCTTTTTCACTTAACACTCCGTTTATTTCAATTCCAATATTTACATATTCTAGCCGCTAAAAATAAATATAAATTACCGTGTATACTATATTAATTACCCTCCCTCAAATAATTACCCCACCTCTATTAATTAGTTAATCAGAAAATATTGAGAAGAAAAGTTTTTTAATTAAAAATATTGTAAAGCATATAGCTATTAATTTCCTAAAGCTGTGCAGTAGGCGGCGTGGTGTAATGGCTAACACATCAGTCCGGTCCAGACGTGGGCGAAACGTTTCGTTTCGTTTCGTTGTTTCGTATGTTTCGTATGATTTTTACTGTTTCGTCTCGTTTCGTTACGAAACACTTTTAAATTTGTTTCGTTTCGTTTCGTTACGAAACACCTGTGATTTTTCAACGAAACGAAACAATTTTTTAAGCCTAAACTAAGGCCAAAATCTATAAAATTTACCATCTTTTATTGAAAATTTAAAAAATTTTCGCCTGCGGCGCTGAAAAAAAAAGAATTTCGGCTTCTTGGCTTTCCCAAATTGTCAAAATTTTCGCCTGCGGCGCTGAAAAAGGAAGATAGCAATTACTTATATACTACAAATCCGTTTATACTCTACTCCCTAATCCACATATACATATTACTTAATAGACGACAAATTCTATTACCGGACTCGCATCATAATTTAAAAATTGCGGATTGCGAGTTGCGGAAATACTGGAACCGGAACTTCCGGCGAAGCACTAGCTTATATCGCCTTCCTCTCGAAATGGAGATATGGAGACAATTTGGGTAGGCAATGGAGCAAGCTAGTGAATTTTTTGGCCTACGGCCTTTCAAAATTTTAAAATTTTTCGTCTGCGGCGCTTAAAATAAAATTTTACTTGAAAAATATTCAATCTTATTTGAAAAAAAGCGTCGCCAAAAATTCGGCTTCGAAAATGATTGACCCCCCCCCCTTCCCCGAAAATTTTCCTTGCTACGGGCCTGGCTTATGGGACACAATTGTTGTAAATAAACCAATAACTAAATCATTTATAATAGAGCCCGGCTCGATACGATATTTTTTCGATATTTTTCGATATATATTTTTCGATATTATCGAAAAAATATCGACCGAGAAAATTTTGATTTTTTCGATATTTTTCGATATTCGGTATTTTTCGGTATTTATCAAAAAAATATCGACCGAGCCCTCCGTCCGGGCTCTAATTTATAAGGCATAGGCGACTAATAAAGTATTTGAGGTCGAATAATTGCGAAATAAATGCAGTTTTGAAAATTTTTTGAATATTAAAATGTTTCGTTTTGTTTCGTTTCGTTTCGTAAGATTTTGGTTGTTTCGTTTCGTTTCGTTAACGAAACGATTTTTAAAAAATTTTGTTTCGTTTCGTTTCGTCAGAAAAAAATTTTGAGTTTCGCCCAGGTCTGGTCCGGTCTACTGAAGATGCTGGTTCGCTCCCAGCCGCCGATTAACCTTTTGCACTAGCTAAAGGAGAGAAATAGCTATAGCCCAGCTGCTTTACTATATCTTTAATATTCAAAACTATACTATATTAAATAATATTTTCCAAACAAATAAAAATTAAAAACATCAACATTACCTCCTCAACATTATTTTTAATAAATTCAATATTTATCAAATTAATTTTAATTTGTTCCTCGTTTTCTTCTGTATATTCAGCAAGAATATTTGGATTATTTAAAATATTATTTGAATTAATTAAATTAGTAAATAATATTAAAAATAAATAAATATTTATTTTTAAATTCATTTTCTAAAAAATAAATTTATATTAATAATTCTATTAAAAAAGCAAGAATAAGCTTTTTAATAGAGCTAGGTATTTCCTTGCCTGCGTACTCTCCACCTCTTTTAATCGCTTGTTTAGTACAGAGTTGTTTCGAATATTCGATTTTCGATTTTCGAATTTTCGAACTTTTGAAAAAATTTGATTCAGACTTTATCGGCCCTCGAACATTTAAAAAATTTTTGCCTGCGGCGCAGAAAAAGGAAGAAATCTTCGATTTCCGATTTTCGAAGATTTTTTTGTTTCGAAACATCTCTGAAAAGTATACAATAATACGTGAGATCGACACTGGATGCGTATGTTAAAATTTCAGTAGGAAATGACAAAAGTGCCAAAAATTCCCCGAAATTTTGACAATTTGGACAAAATTCAGTTGAATTTCAAAACTTCTAAGATTTTATAATATATACATACTTTAATTATTTTTAACATAAAAATTAAATAAATTTTTTAATAATATAATAAAAATAAATATTTATTTTTAAATTAACTTCTTAAATATTAATTTATTTTACATAAGAATTATGTGGATAAGTTGCACTTCCTCACATTTAAAAATTTACAGTATCGGCAATATGTTTACATCTACAATTAATGTTGTTATAAGTCTTAAAGGCTTATAAATTGGCAAAATAAAAGTGATGGACAAAATGCCCCAATTAAAATAGGAATCTCCAAAGTGGTTATAAACAGATTAACCTCCCCCCCCCCCCGAAAACTTGGTAGTCTTCGGTAGAATCTTTATAATTTTTGGATAAAATTCTGATCTTAAAAGGGTATTTTATCAATTGATAGTCCTTCTAAAAGTACTTTGGAAGAATTTCTAGAAAAATTATTTTGTCAATCCATAAGCCTTTGAAAATTAACAACGTTTTGTTATAAACATATTGACGATACTGTATTAGTCTTGTAAAGCAAATAAAAACTAATAAAATTTATTATTTTGAAATTTTTTCTTTGAAATGGAAAAAAATAAATCATAAAGGTATATGTAGTTACCATATAAAATCCCAATTAATAAATAGACATAAAGAAAATATTGAAAAGTACATTGAATGTTAGGATCCTATTAATAGAAAATCACGGATTTAAAATTTTTATTTATTCTATTTTGAGAAGTTTCTGAGACAAAATAATCGATAACGAAGTATCTGGCTAATATTATACATATTATTAATTAATAACGCCTTGCGGCTGAAAAAAGTAAGTAGTCTTTTTATGCTTACGAAACTCCTCCAAGTGGCCAACTAAATTTTAATTAAAAAAGTTATCTTAAATTGAGCAGTTTGTTAAAGAAAATTAGAAAGCCTTTTGGTAAAAATGATTGCTGATGTTTGGCAACGTGAAGAAACCCTTCTTATTAATGGCAAATCCTATTAATGGTTTTAAATGTATAATTTAAATTATAGGAAATCATTGAATAGTTGGAAGGCCTAGCTGGAGAGGATATTAACGGGGGGAGGGTTGGTAATTTTTTGATCGTGACTAATTATTTAACAAGGGAAAGCACACCGAGTCTTTCCTCTCCTTTCACAATTGCTGTTAGATAGGTAGGTGGAAATTTTGACTGCCAACGTTTTTTTCTCCTCATTTACTAGTCCTTTCATGTTCAACTTAAAGCTGGAATAAATAAAATCTACACTAATTAAAGCCCCCAAGCTTTTTTAAATTTACATTAAATATAAAAACAAGCAAATACAACATTTAATAAAGCTCTAAATAAATTCTTTTAAATTATTTATTTTTTATGTTCTTTTTAAATTTCCAAAAGTTTTATTAGAAGAAGAACATCCACATCCACCACTACTTGTAGTTAATTCAATTAAAGAATCTACTCTAACTAAAGGTGCTGGCCCTTTTGGAATATTTTTATGTATATTAATTATTGCTGTACTTGATTTACGTCTTTTTTGTTTTTCTTCTTCAATATTGTTATTATTTAATTCTGAAGGAAGTTGTTTTTGTTGTCTAAAATTGAAAATTAAATTAAAGAAATAATTAAAGGTATCTTTAAGAGTGTACCTTTGATTATTCTTTTCAAGTATTATAGGCATTGTTTCCTCCACATTTTTATTTTTCCTATATTCTTCTCTTTTACTTCTAAATGTATATTCTGCCATTGCATCTGTACTTGGTTCCGTGACTTTTGCGCCGAGAACATTTGCGCCGCGACTTATGCGCCGCGACTTTTGCGCCGCGACTTATGCGCCGAGCGACTTTTGCGCCGGGGGACTTTTGCGCCGCGACTTTTGCGCCGGGCGACTTTTGCGCCGCCACTATCATTAAAAATATATCAATAACTACAGCCGGACCTCACTTTAGTAGGGTTTTCGAATAGTTGGAAATCTTCGGATCTGATATCCAAACTGAAAATTTCGGATATCCGGCATTTTTCGGATCCGGATTTTCTAAACAATGGCGGCGCAAATGTCGCGGCGCATAAGTCGCCCGGCGCAAAAGTCGCGGCGCAAGAGTCGCGGCGCAAAAGTCGCCCGGCGCAAAAGTCGCGGCGCATAAGTCGCGGCGCAAATGTTCTCGGCGCAAAAGTCGTGATACCCTGTACTTGATGCTTCTTCACTTAAAGAAAATTCTGTAGCTGGATACATTTTGGTTGTTTTAGGGACATTTGTAGAGGGAAGGTGGACTTCTGCCTGGACAAATATCTCTTCGGCAGAATTTCTTTTAAAAATATTTTTTATTTAAAATTTGAATTAATTAATTAAAAGTTGAAAAATAACAGGGAAAGCGGCTACATACAACCGTAAACCTCTAATAAAGCCACACACTCCAACAGAACTATTATACGCTATGAGAAGATTGAAAATAGAATCATATGTGGTTCTGTTGGAAGATTTACAGCATATTTTGGGGAAATCTGTGTTTTCAGTTTTTCTTAGAATAATTTAATTTTCACTCTTTAGTTATTTAATAATTTGAATAAAAAAGGACAAAATTTAAATAACAAAAAAACACCTTCTCTCTCCCATAGAAATTCCATTTTCTTGAATTTTTGTTTCCTTTTGTAATTGCCTTAAATTATCCCCAGCGGCAAAAGTATTGGCTCTACTCCTTTCACTTGCTCGTATTCTTTTAATTGTTGATTGTCTTGAACGGCGCAATTCTGCATTATTTTCTTCTTGTAATATCTAAAACAGTAAACGAGTCAGAAAAAAAGGGTTAAGACGTTTCGATTTCCGATAGTTATCTTTCTCGTTTTTTAATGAAAAGCCAATTTTCAAAAAAAAAATTATAAATATTGGAGCTTTGGAAAGGATCTATTGTTGGAGTAAAAGCTAAACAAAAGTTTTGCTTCAGTTAAGAATTAAACTTGTAATCACCCCCTAGTCAGGCTAATATTTATAAACTTTTACCCCCCCCCCTCTCCCCCCTTCACAAACGTCCTCTTAATTAACTAAAATTTCCCAATTATATTTTCCCCTCAATTTATCCCCACACCAATCTGGGCGTGCCGATCTCGAGATTCTAGAGTAATTACACAAGCAACAATTAGCAGAAACATTCCAAGACCCATTAAAATAGGGCCAACATATTGCATACTCTTCAATATGAAACGAAGCCACCCAACAGGCTTTTCTTTATCCTTTGAGGTATTTCCATTTTGAGAAGTTTCTGAGACAAAATAATCGCTATCGAAGTATCCAGCAACTATTAAATAAAGAATTATTAATTATTGTCGAACTATAAGAAAGCCCTTTTGGACAGAAAAAAGCGAGTCCTCCAAGTGGCCAACTAAATCAATTTTAATTAAAAAAGATAACTTAAACGGAGCATAGAGGGCATTTAATAGTGAGGTCTGTATGTATTATTTAATCGTGTAGGGTGAATATTAGAGATAAAAAATAATTTTCTTTTAATAAATTACCAGTCATAACTAGAGCCAATATCATCATTATTGTTCCAATTATTACTGTCACGCAAACTGACCACAATGTCTAAAATTGAGAATAATTAATTGATAGATAACACTATTATTTTGTATACACCCCTCAAAGACGTGCTAAAACTCTCATTAATAAAACTCAAGTTATAGCAGGCTCTCTATTTTTTGGTTATAACCGGGATGTAATTATAATCGAAGTTCTTATAAAATATGTATATGATTTGAATTTGTGGTATAAACGAGTTTCCCAGAAAAATAAACAAAGGATTAACAGTATCAAGTATTTAATTTAAAAAAATCCCCCCCCCCAATTAGCCACTTGTTTGTCGAAGAAGACAGCAACTTTAAAAATTTTTTCAATAAAAATAGAAATAACTGAAGTTGATTTTTGTATTCTTTTTTTATTTTTTGCCATTAAAAATATTTTTTTATTTTTTTTTGATTTAATTTTATAAAATTTAAAAATTGATTAGGGGGAAAGAGAGAAAGTTTTGTGTGTTTTGTTTTAACTAAAAAAGTGTTCCTTCCAATGTTCTCTTTTTTTAAATTTTTTTCTTGCGCAAACAAAAGTTTCTTTTTTATTTTGAGAACAATAAACTAAAAGTTGATTTTGTTGCAGATTTATTTTTAAAAAAATATTTTTTTCTTTAAACTAAAAATATACCTACACTAGACAACCCGTTTAAAACCTCATTTTTTGTTATTTTTAATAAATCGCTAATATTTAGTTTTATGATAAAATAACCCAAAAGTTTAGCATTGGTTAATTTGTCCCTTTAATAAAACGGTTCTCGAAGCTTCTAAGCTCCTGTACTTTCCCAACTCTAAACCATCCCAGGAAAAATTTCAAAGTACATCCGATATTTCTATCACTCTATCAAAATCAATCTATTATCGAGTACAAAGATTTGTAAGTCCCTCTTGTAGACGAAACCACAAGAAAAAGAAAAGCTTAATTAAAAAGTAAAAAATGGGAGAGGAAAATTAATGTAAATTTAAATAAACTTTTGCTCTTTCTCTTTAAAACCCCCTCCAAAATCCCCAAATATGTATTTATATTTCCCCACCTTCGGATCCACACATTTTTTAATAATTAATTTTTTCTGTTGTTGTTTAGCTGCTTTTTGTTCTTTTTTTAATTTTTCAAGTTTTATTCTGTCTGATTTTGGCATTTTCTCAAGTTCTGACAGATTCATTTTGCCAATTCCTAAACTAACACCTCTGACAGTTAACATTTTTTAAATATTTTTTTCCTAAAAAGATTTTTAAATTAAAATTTTAGTTAAATTTAAGTCGTTACTAAAATCCATAAAAAACAAAACTAAAATTTATGGTACTTTTCTGATATGGTGCCGCACATAAAAAAATGTTTTAAAATATGGATAAAATACATATATGTCATTCGAAAGAGCTCATCGAGCTGAGTTGAATGACACCGAAACCAGGCCCGGTCCCAATTTTGAGACCGAGGCCACTCCTTTTGTATCGTAACTTTGTCCAAACTTGTTGGATCACGTTGATTTTCGTGATGAGCCATAGCGGAAAATTACCAAATTTATTTCATATTCTTTAATTTATAAGTCTCAAAAATTAGTAATAATAAATTTAATTTTAATAATTGTAAGATAAAAATTTTCAAAAAAATCCTAAGTGACAATTAACCCCCTAAATACATTGGAATTTATGTAAATAATGGACACCTACACGAATTTTTATTATTAAAAAGGAAATAGTTAATTTAAATAATTAAATTGTGTTAACTTAAATTTAAAATATTTTATGTCAATTTTAAAAGTTTTTCTTCAACGGCACAAAATAAAAACTTTTATTTTTCAGAGTTTGGCACTCTTAAAGATTTTTTAAAAGCAAAGTTTTGCTTGTAAATGACGGCAAAAAAAGGCGGAAACCCTTTCAGGAAGAGAAAAAAAAAAACAAAAAAGTCTGTGCCATTTTATCAAAAAAAAGTAGCACGAGAAAAAATCAATTTGAGAGAAGTCCCTCTTTCCCCTATTTGTCGCGAATAAAAAAAGCAGCTGCCTTTCTTTTATTTTTTAAAAAGTCTTGAAGGGGTGAGGCTTTTTTTTGTTTTTAGAAAAAGATTAATTTTTAAAATAATTAAATTTTTTCCAATTGTTTTTTAAACCTCTTTAGAATTAAATTAATTATTACTACCCCAGGCTTGCTTAAAATAAAGCACATAATAAATAGTTAATCCTTCTAAACAGCCTAACGTATCTACAAATTAATTTTGAGATACATAAATTAAAAGATATATGTAGATTGGGGATTATAGGCGACTGGGCATAATTTCTGGGCTAGATCTTTAAAACAATTTCTGTCCAGAATCGGAGTTGTTCTTTAAAATAATCCGGACAAAAAAACCTTTAAACCTCTCTGGGCCAGTTTAGGTATACTCGAGAATAGTGAAGGAACAAATTTACGTCTTCCCAATTACCCTTTCACACCACTCAAATTAATATGTTCCTTCAATAAAAAAATTTAAAACATTTTAAAATTTAATCAGCATAAAGTAATTTTAAGGAAAATTTGGTTTTAAAAAATATATTAATTTAATATATAATAATTTTAATATACAATTTATAAATTAAATAATTTTTTTTAATAATAAAAAGAATAAGTAAAGAATTTTAGGAAAATATTCCAGATCCCCCCCCCCCCATTTGTAGTTCAAAATAAGGACAAAAGTTTGTTTTTACCTAAAAAAGAACACTAATTGTGAATAATTTAAAAAAAAATAATTTTTAAATTTATTTTTGTGACATAAGAGATGGGGAAAATTTCAAAAGAAAATTTTTTAAATAATTCAGAAAAACCGAAAATAATAAAAAACCTTTTTTGCTTTTAAATAATTAAAGAGATGCAGAAAAAATAAAAGGAAAAACAGGTACAAATTCTATTGATTTTGGAGGGTTTTCGGTTATGCACACAAAATATTTCTTTGTTTTTCCTATTTTTTAATCTGAATTTTTCTGAAAAACTGCTCTTGTATTTTTTTACTAAAAATGTCAAAAAAGAGCAGAACGAATAAATCACAATAAATCAACTTATTATTCCTTGCCTTTAATGCAAAAAATAATTGTAAATTTTTTGTGCCTGACCGAAAAGCTAAACTTTTTAAAATAATTTTAATAATAATATATTTGTGTGTAAGTACTAGAAAAATAAATCTTTCTCTCATATATAATCTTTTTTTTAAATAATATTTAATTTCCAAAAAAAATAAACTTTCAATTAACGTCCAAAGGTGCCTGATTCTCTGGAATTAAGGATGTGAAGAATGCCTGAAATGTTCCCCAAAAAATACTCCATGCAGAATTTCCCGAATTGTTAACAGGAGTTGGCTGCTGCTGTTCTGTAGTTGGTTGTTGATTCCCTTCATTTTGTATCTCCTCTTGTTGTTGCTGACCATTTTGCGCCTAAAATTAAATTTTTAAAGATAAATTGATTTTGAGACAATAATATTAAAAAAAGGAATCGGAAGTTTGGAAATGTGTAATAATTTATTAGCGTTACATACAACATTCTCCCTCACTTTATAACAGTAAAGGGATTTCAAAATATGTGAAAAATTATTTAAAAAGTTGTCTGCAATGTAAAGAAAAGTTTTTTGAAGTTATAAAAATTTTTTTCAAAAATGATTTCCATTAAAATTTTTGTGAAAGTAAAAGATCTGACAATGAGTGTGAATTATAAAGAAGTTAAATGCTACAACGTTATCCTTCAATAAGCCCCATTATATTTTTTATAAATTAAAAACCAAAATTAACCTCTCTATTATTCACTTCTCCAGGTCTTGCTTCACCAGCAGCTGCTTCCCTAGCCTGTTGCTGCCTGCCTCTAAATATATTTACCAACCAAAAAATTCCAATCATTGCAAGAACAAACACAAAACGTTCGATTGAAGAATATAACAATAAAACCATTCCCAACAAAATAAAACGAATTGATTTGTAAATAATATCCAAAAAGTCTGGAGCAGCACGAGGTTCGTTGTTTTGTTGAACATTTGCGACTATAGGCATTTGAAGAGGTACTTGTTGTTGCTGCTGAATGGGAGGAAGTTGTTGTCCAAATGCGGCAGCGTTGGAGAACTAAAAAGAAATTAATAATTTCGAAGACAAGAAAAATCATAAATTAGGGACCGGCCAAGAAGAGTGAATGAATTTGTTAGAACTCGAAAAACTCAACCAAGTACTCTAAAATCTACTATTGTTCTAAAATCGTTATTTTTGGATATAAAATGAAAGGACCCCACGGTCAGCACATTCAATATTTTCATTCACTAATCTAAAATAAAATACCTGTGCAAAAACAGCTTGTTGAGCAAAAGCCGCTTGACTTAATGGATTCCACATTGGCCATTGAACACCTCCATAGGGCATTCCAACGGCATTCTGATACAAAGGCATCATTTGTGAAATACTAAAAATTAAACAATAATTTAGTTAAAAATATTAAAAATACTATTGTTGATAAGCATTCATCCAAGCTTGTTGCTGATCCTGTTGTTGAGTTGGGTAGAAATTGTTTGTTGGGAAGGGCATAGGCATTGGATTACCTGTACCATTATTAACTGGGATTTGAGAGGAATTACTATGTCCAGTGCTAAAAAAGTGAAATAAATAAAATCAAAAATTCAAAAAAATCCAAGAATAAAATTTGAGACTGTAATTGGGTAAAAATTCATGGAAAACTATAGAACTAAATAAAAAAAACAATTTAATAAAGGAAACTAAAGTCGTAGCCAGGGGGCCGATTTCAGAAGGGGCAATAGGGAACGCCAAAATTTTGCCGTTTACTTTGGCTTTAAAACGTAAATTTTGGGGGTTGTAGGCGCTTTTTCGATCATCTTCCTTCCAAAATTTTTTCATTTACCCATTGCAAGGGAGGGGGCTATAGCCCCCTATCCACGCCCTTGAAGGAAACCCCCATTCACCTTAAAACGACAAAATTTACCTAGAACTACTCCCAACACTACTAGCTGCAGCCGATCTATGCCGAACAGTTGAAGAAGCAACCTTTCCAGTATAAACCATGTGAATAACTTGTTTTTCGAGTTGTTCATCAGGAGAACGGGGCATTCCATCCCTTTGCTGTTTCAAAACATCTTTAATTGTTTGTTCATTTTTAAGGCAATGGCCGGCATAAATTAAACGTTGACGTTCAACTTCCTTAAAAATTTAACAAAAAATAATTAACCAAAAAAATCATTACCGGATTAAAATCACAAATTTGTGTTAAATGTTCTTTTAATTGTAAAACTGTCCAATTTTCAAAACATTCAACATTGTAGTCAGAAAATGTTTGTAAAGCACAACGAATCGTTAATTGTATTTTTTCTTGTTGGGACATTTGTTCTTTGAATTTTTTGAAAATTTTTTGTCAAGTCTTTGTCTTTCTAAAAATAAATTTTTTAAACAAAAAGTGTCACAATTCAACTAAAAATATTTTAGAAAAAAAGAAAAAATATTTAAAAGCCTCCGCAGTCCTATGATCGATTAATATAGTGAACGTTGAATGTTTATTTGGGGGAAATAAAATATTACATTTATTGGACGTTTACTTATAATTTCTTTTTTTTTTGTTTGTGAATAGTGTAAAGAATGGGGGGATTTAATTTTAATAAAAATATTATTAAATGATAAGTTATTAATTGGTTGCTTAGCGCCAGCTAACAGCTGCAGCTGTTTTACACATTTAGGCTACGTTAATTTAATCAGACACAAATTAGACGATAAAATATCAAAATGCCGAAAAGAAGAAATTATACGAAAGACCAAAAAATTAAGTAAATATTTTTAATTATAACTTTTTAAGGAACGATCAGACTTGCTAGGTCCTGCTAGAAAAAAGATTCAGCTCATCAGGGGCTTTCGAATGATATAAGATTTGTTCGGATTGAATCAAGAATAAAAAAGTTATAATTTTTTAAAGCTTCAGACTCAACTGACCCCAAGACCAGAATTCTTGCTGACAGCTTTCAGTCACTAATTTCTCTACTTCTCTAATGTCTCTTATTTTAAGTGTTACACTCGTTTATTTATATCTCTTTCGTAATGTCTGTCAACGTGGCTGAAACTTCTTTTTACCGTGTTATTAAATTTATTTTCTACGTAGAATTAATTTTTAATAATTTTTAAAAACTTTTTTAAATAAATCTTTTATTTTTTTTTTAGTTTTTAACACTTTTATTCTCTTCCTTAACGTTTAAATTCTTCTGAAAATGGGCGATTTTGGCGAGTGGTATCGGTCAATACCGCTAATTACTAGATATTGGTTTACTGGAGCAACAGTTATTCCCTTAATGGGGCGTTTTGGATTATTTAGTCCGTATTTGATGTTGCTGGACTTTGAATTGTTTTTCTACAAATTTCAGGTTTTTTTTTAAAATTTTAAGATTAAAAAATATTTTTAGTTATGGAGACCGATAACTGCACTATTTTATTACCCAGTTACTCCACAGACAGGATTTCATTGGCTTTTGATGTGTTATTTTCTTTATAATTACTCAAAAGATACGGAAACTTCAGTTTATGATGGAAGGCCTGCAGACTATTTATTTATGTTAATATTTAATTGGATTTGCTGTGTGGTAATTTTTTTAATTTGTTATTTAGTTGAAATGTTTCTGAAAATTCAGATACGAAATTTAAGTCTTAACTGAGCCGGGAAGCGTAGGTAAAAGTATCTGGGTTATTCAAACTTTTTACGCCCTAAATTTGTGACAAAACTATGCCGGTAATACTTATTGTTAAGATCATTGGTCCCGAGAAAAAATGAGAAAAAATTCTCTTTCGGTATTTTTGAAGCTTTCCAGTAGGAAAGCTTTTTTTTCTTTCCAGTTTTCCGAGTCAGAATCAGCTTATAATTTGGCCATTTCGAAATTTTCTTCTCGGGACCTTAAGGTTTACCACTATGGCCTAAGAAAATTAGCAATTTTTGAGGAAATATTTTAAGAATTTTCCTCCTTCATTCCATGTAGGATTCATTTCCTCCCAAAAAATATTTTTACTCGTTTCTATCTCTAATAAATTAAACTTTTTCAGATAATCTGTTTTGTCTCAGAAATTTATTTTTTATTGGAACCAATGGTTTTGAGTGTACTCTATGTTTGGTGCCAATTTAATAAAGACCGAACAGTTTCTTTTTGGTTTGGAATGCAATTTAAGGTTTATTTATTTTTATTTATTTGTCTTTAATTTAACAAAATTTTCAGGCTGTTTATTTACCTTGGGTTCTTGTAGCTTTTAATATGGTTCTTAGAGGGGGAGGAATTAATGAACTTATTGGAATTCTTGTTGGTCATACTTATTACTTTCTTGCCTTTCAATATGCTTTGGATTATGGAGGTTCAGTGATTATTAAGACGCCACAATTTTTGTAAGTTTTTTTTAAAAATTGTTAATTTCCAATTTTCGAATATAAATAGGTTAATAGTGGGTAATTTGTTATCCATTATTTTTAGACAAAACTATAGCTTATTTATTTTGAATAAACGGCCACATGCTAAACCTCTTTATTCAACTCATAGAAAAACAAACTTTTTTGGGTTCAATATCATTAGAGAATGTCGCCATCCAATTAAAACCTCAGATCTCAACGAGTTACCATCTTATCTTTATTCTTTTTTACATTTCCATTGACTTTTATTTTGTAATTTATTCGGTTGTTCACATATCCTTGGTTGGTTAAGTTGGATAATTTAATTTTGTTGATATTTAAATTCGATATTGGTTCGGCCCTTTCACCGAAAAGATTTTTAAAAATGCAAGAACCAGCGATACAGGAGTTTTTCAAATCCTGTATATCCTAGATTCTTTGCTAAATTAATTATTTGAAGTTTGAGAGGCAAATATATTTGTTTATGAATTTGTTCTCTAGGATTCGAAATTACATTTTTAGTTGGAAAAAAAAATTTTATGATTGGATGAGTGGAAGATTTTTTTTAAGATTCAAAATTTAGAGTTTCCAATTTTAATTTCAATAATTAATTTAGATACAATTATCTTCCAAATCGGGTTGGTGGATTTGCTGGTTTTGGAAGCGTTCCACAAAGCAGAACCGCAACAAATCGTGGAGGAGCAACAGGCGGTGGAGGACATAATTGGGGTACAGGACGAGAACTTGGAGGAGAACAACGATAAGAGAGATATATTGCAATTTTTATTTTTTGGGTGTTTTTTGTAAAAGTATTTATTTTTCCGTTCAAGTGAAATTATTTATAAAATAATTTACAAAAAAAATAATTTTAAATCCTTGTAAGTAACTGTAACATCCCTATTCCATTTACTTACAAGAATTCTAGGTGTTATTTTACTTTTCTACCACTTGAGCGGAATCCTTACCATCAAAAACATTTTTTTATTAAAAGAAAATTATCGACATACAAATTTACATTTGTACAGAATAAGAGAGAATTTTTTTGTTAATTTTGGGTCTTTTAATTAATTTTTTAGTTCCAAAATTTTTTTCCTTTTTTTAGTTGAGATCCTCTAATTTTTGACTAGTTTATTATAGATATTGAGGAGGATGTTGTAGGCCTAGTATTATTTTCATTTTCTTCTTGTTCCTCATTTTTTGTACTCTAAATTCTAAATATAAGTTTTTCTTATTTTTAAAAATTAATTTAATTATACCAACCCTGATATGTGCATTTTGTCTTCTTAAATCAGATTTTATTAAGGCTGTTAAAATAAAACCAACAAATAATAAGGCAGACATAATTACATTACACCATAAAATTGATAGATCGTGAAGTACCTAAATAAATTATTTAATTAGAAAATCAAGCTTAAATTTAAAATTATAAGGACGTGGTTATTTTGATTATATTTCGAGCAGAGACTACGTATTAACAGGATCGAGCATGTGAGGGGTTTCCCGAAAATTTTTAACGGGATTGTAGTTCATGGAGAATTAATTAACAAATAAGCTCAATGAATGCCTTAGTCAAATTATTATAAAATTCTGGCCTTGGATTCCTTGTCCTGGGTCAGTTCGTTTTTAAAATACCGTTATTATCCGCGTTAATTTAAATTAATATTTACAAAAAAATAAAAATTCTATTCTCTTCACCTTTCCCATTCCAAATGTCATGGCAATTCCAAAAGCTTGAGCTGACCCATTCAAAAGCCCTGAAGTTGTCCCTTCTGCAATTGGAAAAGTTAATTCAGCAGCAAATTCAAAACCAAGAGGTAAATAACCGGTCATAAAAAATCTGTAATGAAATTGTTCTATTTATGTATTTTTTAATTAAAGAAATTTTACCCAAGAGCAATTGCAATAATAAAAATTGTCCAAAGCGGCCATCTTGCCAACGTAAAAGTAAATACAATCATTCCAAGAAAGGAAAATAAATAAACTATTAATGTTGTCATTCTGAAAAAGAAAAAATTATAATGTTCATATTGTGGAAAAATTCATTGGACGGGAAATGGAATAGAACCATCATGGAAAGGGCCCAAACCGAGGCACAACCGACTGTGTCAACATCCAACCCGATGCGGGTTATTTTTACAATTTATATTCTTTCTGCAAGTGCGGACACAACAAAAATAAAATTTAAGACACCCTAAGTTGATGTCCAGATTTCCCTCTAAAATTATTTTCTGGTTTGGGGGAAAATTCTTTATTTTTTGGAAATTCTTTCCACAGAAAGCCCCCCCCCCTAAAAATTTTTTAAATTCAAAATTCCTCTCTTATACTTAAAATGATGCCATTTATCAAGAACATAGCCACAAACAACAGAACCAAACATTCCACTAACAACAATTAATAACCCTATTGTGCCTGTTGCTTTTTGTGCACCCTCATGATAAAAAAGTATCATTTGACTTAAAAGTGTAGATATTGCATAAAATACGCCAACATTAATTCCTTTTAAAAAATAAATTTTATTTTTTAGAAAAGGTTGTAAATTGTTGCTTAATATTAGTATTTTGTGAACAAAATTACTAATAACTCGACCTATACAATAGAGATCGGAAATTTTGAAAAGCCTGGGCCTGTTCCTGGGTTCCGGGTTTGATTTATTGACCTGGGTCGGATCCTGGGCCTGTAGTCCAGGAAAAACCCAGGAAGGTCAACAAATGCCTGGGCCTGGACTCTGGGTACAGGAAAATGGTCCAGACCCAGACCGATCTCTAGTCCACAATCCCTCCCTCCCTAATTAAAAAATTCTTTTAAAAATATTTTCTTCTAATTTACCATAAGTAATAAGCAAAAGTATATAATTTCCATTTTTTAACAAATTTTTAATTGACCGTCCAAAATCTCCTTCTCTAGATTCATCAATTGCTTGCATTTGGGCATTTGATGGAGGAAGAGGAGGTTTTTCAGCAAAAAATAAGGCAATAAATATAAAAATAATCGAATTTACAACAGCAGAAATTAAAAATAATAAGCTTAATTGAAAGCTTATACTCTCTTTATTTCCGGGATGTACAAGCAATGGAGGGAGTATAAAGCCAATAGCAATACCTAACTTTAAATTTGAAGAGGAAATTATTTTATTTAAATATTAAAAGCTTTAGTAGGGAAGAAGGAATAAGGGAGAGGATAATTAAAGCCAAAAACTAAATGATCGGGTTTAAGTCATGAAAAAATTAATATCAATGGATCTTAAATTTAAATTTAGTCTTTTTTTCTAAATATTTTACTAAAAGAGAGACAAAGATAGATTTTGACAAAAAATATTTTCCAGAACAGATGGCGGGTTCACTCTAAGGTTGTCGGATCCGGATCCGAAAAAAGCCGGATATCCGGAAATTTTCGGTTCGGATATCAGATCCGGATATCCGAGGATTTCCAACTATCCGACAGTCTTATTCCCTTCCTCTAAAAATAAGATTTAACCCAACCAATTTGGACCTCTTTTAAATAAACTATTTATATATCCACCTGATTTCCAAAAACCCCAGCAGCACAAGCTGTGGATACTTGTTCTGGACCAAACCAAACAGCTGCCAGTCTTGGAGGAATTCCCAAAATAAAAACTTGGGAAGAGCCGACAATCTGTATTTAAAGAATTTGGTTAATTTAAAAAATCAAAATTCACAGTTTGGGCAATAAATGTCAGCCAAAATCTGTCTGGGGTTGTCGATAAAATTTTAAGCCAAGCACCAAAACAATTCCCAAAAGCACCAATCATAACAGACATTCTAAGGCCATATTTATCCAAAAACCAACTACAAAAGTAAATTTTGAAAAATATTTTTTTTATTTTCCTTCACCTTCCAGGGAAAATCAAAATCTAAAAAAATTTTTTATTTATAAAAAAATTATTTTTAGGGACCATATAAGTGAGCATATAAATCATTGATGTCCAATCTACAGTTGTATATTCAACATTATAATATGCGTGAATTATGTGTGCTATTATGCTGTATTCTGAAATTAACGAACAATTATAAAAGACAAAGGTTGTCTATCCAGAATTTGTCTCTTTTGAAAATTGCACATTTTGTGTACTCTCTCACTATTTGTATGACCAACATCCGGAAAATTCCGGAAATTAAGTAGTGTCCCTTCTCTATTGTTTTCGGTTTTACATGTGGGGAAACACACATAATGAGAGATACTGTATAAATGAAGGAGAGACATTCCGGAACAGACAAAATAATTTTCCGTTTATTAAAATTAATTTACCTATCCATTGCATGGCATTTGAGGCGGAGAGAAGAATAAACCTAAAAAATAAATAAAAATTAAAATTATAATTTATTTTTTCTCCAACATTGTAAGCATTGCATATCGCCTCGAATAAATTTTTGTCCTTTGTTGTGAAGAATTTTCTGTTGTATCCAAAACCCCATTAGTAGTTGGATTAGTAGATCTTCCATTTTTCTCGGTTCTTTTATATTGTTGTTGTTCTGTTTCTGTCAAATGACGTCTTGCGGCTGTTTCTATATCACTTTCTTCATCTGTACTGGACATTTATTGTGAAGTTTTTTTTGAGAGATAAATAAAAATTAAGAAATTATAAGAATAAACAAAATGATAATTTAAATAAATATGTAGGTAGTTATCTGAAAAATAAATAAAAATTAATTAATTAAACTTTAAATTTCGAATTAAATAAAAATGATGAAATGTAGGGGTAGATTTTTAGTCAAATCGGGACAGTTTCTCAAAAATAATCAAATTTAAATGGGTCAATTTTTAGGAATCTAACGGAATATATCTGCAAACTAACTATACAGCCCACTCTCATCTTTAAGTTATTCCGTCCCAAATTTCAACGGTAAAACTGGACATATCGGTTATAAAATAGAGATGCAGTTATATCACCATACTTTCGGGTTATAAATGAGAGTGAGAGTTTGTAGACATTTAATTAAAATAAAAAATCCCAAAAATATATCTAAATAATTTAAATTATTTTTAAAAAAATTAAGAAAAAATTAATATATTAAACAGTCTAGAAGATAAAAAAAAATTTTAAATCTTTTAAAAGAAAATTTTCAAAGTGGAACACTTAAAAATTATTTTTTATTTACTAAAAAGCACTGATTTTTTGTTTGTTTTTTATGTTAAAGTGTACCCAAAATTTTAGAAAAAATTTTAAAATAAATATATTTTTAGTTAAATTAGATATATTTCATTACAAATTTGAAAAAATTTTTTTTTGCAAAATTATTTTTCGATAAAAGAAAAAATTCTTCAAAATACATTTATTTATACTTTTTAGAAAGAAGCTTTCTTAGAGTTCAAGCGCTGGGGTTGGTTTCCATAAAATTTTTACTTACCAAAGACAATATGCCGCCTGTTTTGGAACTACCCGTTAGCTTGCTAATATAAATTTCGACTTTCTAGTATTCAAAAAAAATAATTTTTTGGAACTCAACGCCAAACTTGAACTCCCATAAAAATGAATTTTTTTGAAAATTTTAGAGTTACTTCCTAAGAAAAGTTATTTTCGCTGATATTTATATGAAGGCCGATTAAATTATGTATTATTTTTTTATTATCATCAAATCTAGGTATAATTAAAATAAAATAATTATTTATACCAATTGAACCAATAAAAATTTTTATAAAAATTCCCATCCTTAAGTAAAAAAAATTTTTTTAAAAGAACATAAAATAAATTTTAAAAATAATTTTGTTATTCGTCAAAAAACAAATTTAAAAATAAATTGACAGAAAAAATAAATTTATTTATTTTTTTAATTGTATTTGAAAACGGAAAAATGAAAATTTTCGTGAAAAAAAATTAAAAAATAAATAAAGCTTTTCTAAAGCCAAAAAATAAAAGAAAATTTAATTTTTAATTGAAAAAAGAATATTTTTTGACTAAAAAATTTACGAAAAAATAGATAAATAAACATATGTGGTACTTTAAAGGGAATAATAATAATAATAATAATTTTTGTTGCCATAGCACTTTTTATAGTTAAAAAAGGATTTTTGAAGATTAAAAAAAAATAAATTTATAAATTAAAAATATCTTTAATAATTCTGGAAATTTAATAAAATCCAGTACCTTTTAAAAAGAAAAAAAGATAAGAAAAAATATGGGGAAACTTAAAAATCCCTACAAACCCCCCCCCTCCCCTTAAAAAATTTAAAAAAATTATTTTTTAAAAATATTTTTATTGATTTTAGAAAAAAAATAATAGCGCGGACGCTTACTAATAGACACGTGAAAAATTGATTTGATGAATTTATGGACTGTTATTTTTTTGGATTTTCTATTCAAAAGAGAAAAAAGAGGGGGGGGGGGGAGGGGGATTTTATTAAAATAATTTTTAAAAAAGAAATAAACGATTTTTGAATTAAATATTTGTTCTTTTTATCAAACTACTAAAATTAAAGAGAGGTGATAATAAGAGATAAAAGAGGTGAAGAGGAGATAAGAGAGGAAGTAAGTAGTGACTTTTGGAAATTCTTTTTTGGAAAATTCCTTTTTTATTATCAAAATTAATTTTTAAAATATTGATAAATATTTAAAAATAATTAAGAATTCTTTGGAATAAAGGGTATTAATTAAATACCGTATTTTTTGTATTAGAGCCCCACGCTGTATTAGAGCCCCACGCTGTAATAAAGCCCCACTTTGGAGGATAGTTGAAAAATAGAGCCCCACGCTGTATTAGAGCCCCACGCTGTAATAAAGCCCCACTTTATGAAATTTTCACATACCTAAGTTAATAAATTTATTTTTAATACTGTACAGCCTTTTCTATCATTTCCAGTCAAATCAAAGCAGTTCATTCCAGTTAGGTTCTGTCACTGGAGGCATAGATTGATTAGAGTTCAGCGGGATCGGGATCTTGGTCGGGATCGGGCGGGAGTAAGCCGGGTTTTTCAAATCCTGATCCCGATCACGGCCAATCCCGAGGCCGAGATCGGGATTGTTATGTGCATCAGATCCAGATGCAAATCCCGATTTTATAAATTGACTCGTCTGTGAAATAAAGTAGAGTAAGTCGAGTTTGAGCATTTTCGAGTTACTCTATCTGCCCAAAAAACTATAATCTGCCCAAATCCCGCTTAATACCTTGATATCCTTCTCACTCCTCTTATCACTCGATATCCCTTTAATCTGCACGAATCAACGAAATAATATTATCCATTGATTTTCCACCCGGAGCCCGGAGTCAACATGGAAATACCTTCTTAATCACATCTATATCCTTTCATGGGACTGAACCGGAATATATTCACGAGAGATTGAAACGTACGGACTGAAGAAAAATAGAATCGAACCTTCAAAGGCTCGATAGGATTCGAACCTTCCACAAATTAAAATTCCAATTCGGCCTTAAATCTAACTCAGATGCACTTAACCGCGCCTTAGTGTACACGCGTGACTATCATATTTGGAAATATCTCAATGTTGAAATTTGCTTTTGTGATTAAACTTTAATTGATTGGATAAATATAGTTAACCGTATAATTGAAAATCCTATTACTTATTTTCAAGAATAGGTTGAAAAATAGAGCCCCACGCTCTATTAGAGCCCCACGCTGTAATATAGCCCCACTTTGGAGGATAGTTGAAAAATAGAGCCCCATGGGGCTCTAATACAAAAAATACGGTAATAACACACACATAAAAATCTTTTTAAATATCATTTTGAATACATATGTAGACATTGGAGTGACACACAAATTTATTTAATGGGAGTGTGGCTATGGATTTTTAAATTAAAATTGCGGCTGCCGAAAAATTTTTCATTTGCGTCCACCTTGCACTACAAAAAAACAGAATAATAAACGAAAAAATTTGGAGATTTATAAAACTACCTATTTATAATTTACTACAATAATTTATCTAAATTAAATGAATTTTAGAAAAAAATTCTTTTTAAATTTTTATAAATTTATTTAAATTATTTTTGTATTTACTACTTAACAATTTAAAATTTATTTTTTTAAAAAACTTGAAAAAGAAGAAACTAACAAAAATTGGTTAATGACTGTTTAGAGGGTCTCCTCTCCTCTCTCTTTTTAATTTTTGTTTACTTTTGTGACAAGCTGTAAAAGTTGTTAGTAAGCATTTACAAAAAATATATTTTTGTTGATTATTTATTTTTAAAATAAATATTAATAAAAATATTTTTTCGGTTAGTGATTGGCCACAGACCCTCTTTCTTTTTTTCTTTATCGAACACAAATAAATAAAATATGAAACCACAGGGATCACTTATAGAGAAGTAACATACAAGAAAATTCAGTTAGACCCGATTAATTCTATTAGGTTTTGAGAATATTTTTTCTGGATTTATTTTATAGAAACGAAAAATTATTTTGTAGGTTGTTTAGTTGGAGGGAGTTTGCATGTAAACTTTCGATGGAAATTTTTAAATGCAAATCTTTTTTCTTTAATATAACAAATAAATATTTTTATATTCCAAATATATTTTAGAATACTCAAATTATTGGAGAAAAATTGAAAAAATATTAAAAAAATTTTTTGGACCGGAAATTATTTAATCGAAAGTTTAAAAATAAAATGAAAGGAAGAAATAAATTGAAAGAAAGAAAATCACATTTGAGCAAAAATCCATTGATAAATAGCCTGAAAAGTGTGTAATTAATTTATTTTTCCTTTCATCTGTTGGCAGCTATTTAATTCTTTTAAAATACCTGGATATATATTTTTTAGTTGTCAGAAAATGTTAAAAATTAAAAAGAAATTTTTTAAATTAATTTCTAATTAGAATTGAGAATCTTTCGGGTTACAAAATACCTTTCAATCATCATCAAGCGATTTTTAGGTATTTCCTATAGCTGAATGACTAACGATTCAAAATACTTTTTCCTTTAATCCTTTCGAGTTCATTAAATCGAGGTTTGATTATAGTAATAAATTTTTATTTGGTACGGGTTAAATTGGGTGGATAATAAAGCTTAGATTCTTGTACTGTCAAACCTCGATATTGAATACCCCTTTGATGTTGATTAAATAAAGAGTATCTTACATTTAGAATATTGCTTAGTTATCACCTGCTAATCATTTGACAACGAAATTTTTAAAAATATATTAATAATTATTTATTATTTAATTTTAGGAGTATTTAAATCCAAAGTAGGATTTTGATTTTGCAAATAAGAACACCAAAAAAATAATTTCACATAAAAAATATTTATTTAATATTTCCATTTGGTACGGATTAAATTGCGTAGATAATAAAATATTTAAATAAATAAATTCAAAACCAATAATTATTTTCTTCAAAAAATTCATTATTAAATTCTTCTTGTTCCTCTTTTTTAAATTTACTATTTCCATTATTAATTAAAGGCAAAAATGTTTCTTTAATTTTTTGTTCATTTCCTTCTTCTTTTTCTTCATTTAATAATAAATGCGCGTAGTTTTTAAATGAAAAATTGCTGATAAGGCTAATTTCTGGTCGAAGTAATAATCGAACCATTTTTGTTGGAAAATGTTTATAATAAATTGTTTTATTGTTTTTATTAATTAAATA